AAAGTAATCATGTTGGGAGTCTGGCTCTCGAGATTCGGAGGGCGGTGCCTCTTCGATTTTGGAGCAAGCAATCTTGTTGGGAGTGTTTTCTCGAATGTGAGTAAAGGTTGGGCATGTTTGCTAGTCTACCTTGCCACGAAGCACAAAGGTTGACACACAGGGACTTTCCAATTATCCAGCAATGGTACTGTTCCTTTACCCTCTCTTCGATTTTTAAGAAAGTAGTCATGTTGAGAGTCTGGCTCTCGAGATTCGGAGGACGGTGCCTCTTCGATTTTGGAGCAAGCAATCTTATTGGGAGTGTTTTCTCGAATGTTAGTAAAGGTTGGGCATGTTTGCTAGTCTACCTTGCCACGAAGCACAAAGGTTGACACACAGGGACTTTCCAATTATCCAGCAGTGGTACTGTTCCTTTACCCTTGTGGGTAATAATATGGTAGCTAGACCTTCAAAATTTATGGGTCTAAACTTTGTTAGTGCTGTTTCTTTGCTATTCTTTTACCCTTCTTGGTCAGAGCGATGTAGTGGGAGCTGCAAGCTTCACGTGCTCAACTTTGGCAGAGAACTTTGGCAAAGTTATCTGTGGTACCCATGAGCTATTGTTGCGTGTGGGAAGTGGGTGATTGAACAGTAAGATTCATGTGTTTTCTACTTCCCCAGAAGTCTTTGACAGAATGCCCATAATTTCCGCAAAACTGAGTGCGTGTGACAGGTGCTGACAAGGCTGGAAAAGGCTGGAAAAGTAGGTGCCTCTTCGATTTCTGAGATCGGCCCTCGTGGTCTCTGGGGAGCCCAGCTTTTGAGAAAGCGAGCGCATCTTCGATTTTTGAGATCGGCCTTCGTGGTCTTTGAGCAGCCCAACTTTTGAGAAAGCAAACGCCTCTTCGATTTCTGAGATCAACCCTCGTGATCTCTAAGCAGCCCAGCTTTTGAGAAAGCAAAACGCCTCTTCGATTTCTGAGCAGGCGCCTCTTCGATTTCTGAAGCTTCGTCGAGTGCAGATTTTTATAGGGGCTGGCATTAAGTTCCAAAGCACACTTGAATCTCCACCAGTAGAAGCTTCATTCTTGCACTTCTAAGATCTTGATTTGTCCGACCTCTTCTCTCTTCAACACCTTTGAAAATGTCTGGCCCCTCCGACCGTCGTTTTGACTTGAACCTTGTTGAAGAGGCAGCCCCGCCTTCTCCAGACAACATATATGGCGCCCATCATTCGTCTCCCCTACTGGTCCTCTTACCGTTGGGGATTCCGTGATGAAGAATGATATGACCGCTGCGGTGGTGGCCAGGAACCTTCTCACTCCCAAAGATAACAGACTACTTTCCAAACGGTCTGATGAGTTAGCTGTTAAGGATTCGCTGGCTCTCAGTGTTCAGTGTGCAGGTTCTGTGTCTAATATGGCCCAACGCCTATTTGCTCGAACCCGCCAAGTTGAATCATTGGCGGCTGAAGTGATGAGTCTCAAACAGGAGATTAGAGGGCTCAAGCATGAGAATAAACAGTTGCACCGGCTCGCACACATGACTATGCTACAAACATGAAGAGGAAGCTTGACCAGATGAAGGAAACTGATGGTCAGGTTTTACTTGATCATCAGAGATTTGTGGGTTTGTTCCAAAGGCATTTATTGCCTTCGTCTTCTGGGGCTGTGTACCGCGTAATGAAGCTCCAAATGATCAACCTCTGATGCCTCCTCCTTCTAGGGTTCTGTCCAGTACTGAGGCTCCAAATGATCCCCCTCCGGTGCCTTCTCTTTCTGGGGCTCTACCGACTGCTGAGACTTCTCCTAAGCAACCTTTGTGAAGGCTCCCTCTTGTGTGCTTATTTTGACTCATGTATATGTACATATTTGTAGCTTATCGGGGATATCAATAAATAAGCTTTCCTTCATTTCAACGTATTGTGTTAAATACACCAAAGCCTTCTTTGCTAAGTTCTTTGAATTTTCTTTTGTTAAAGCTTGTATGTTGAAGCTTTCTGAGTGGAGCATGTAGGTTGGGGTAGTGTTCCCTTAATTTCCCGAGTGAGGAAAACTTCTCGGTTGGAGACTTGGAAAATCCAAGTCACTGAGTGGGATCGGCTATATGAATCTTAGAACGCCATTGTGCTCGATCCTGTGTCATGTCCTTCGTTAGATCCAAGTACTCTAAGTCTTTTCTTAGAGTCTCTTCCAAAGTTTTCCTAGGTCTTCCTTTGCCCCTTCGGCCCTGAACCTCTGTCCCATAGTCGCATCTTCTAATCGGAACGTCAGTAGGCCTTCTTTGCACATGTCCAAACCACCGTAACCGATTTTCTCTCATCTTTCCTTCAATTTCGGCTACTCCTACTTTACCCCGGATATCCTCATTCCTAATCTTATCCTTTCTCGTGTGCCACACATCCAACGAAGCATCCTCATCTCCGCTACACCCATTTTGTGTACGTGTTGATGTTTCACCGCCCAACATTCTGTGCCATACAGCATCGCCGGCCTTATTGCTGTCCTATAAAATTTTCCCTTGAGCTTCAGTGGCATACGGCGGTCACACAACACGCCGGATGCACTCTTCCACTTCATCCATCCAGCTTGTATTCTATGGTTGAGATCTCCATCTAATTCTCCGTTCTTTTGCAAGATAGATCCTAGGTAACGAAAACGGTTGCTCTTTGGTATTTCTTGATCTCCGATCCTCACCCCTAACTCGTTTTGGCCTCCATTTGCACTGAACTTGCACTCCATATATTTTGTCTTTGATCGGCTTAGGCGAAGACCTTTAGATTCCAACACTTCTCTCCAAAGGTTAAGCTTTGCATTTACCCCTTCCTGAGTTTCATCTATCAACACTATATCGTCTGCGAAAAGCATACACCAAGGAATATCATCTTGAATATGTCGTGTTAACTCATCCATTACCAACGCAAAAAGGTAAGGACTTAAGGATGAGCCTTGATGTAATCCTACAGTTATGGGAAAGCTTTCGGTTTGTCCTTCATGAGTTCTTACGGCAGTCTTTGCTCCTTCATACATATCCTTTATAGCTTGGATATATGCTACTCGTACTCCTTTCTTCTCTAAAATCCTCCAAAGAATGTCTCTTGGGACCCTATCATACGCTTTTTCCAAATCTATAAAGACCATGTGTAAATCCTTTTTCCCATCTCTATATCTTTCCATCAATCTTCGTAAGAGATAGATTGCCTCCATGGTTGAGCGCCCTGGCATGAACCCGAATTGGTTGTCCGAAACCCGTGTCTCTTGCCTCAATCTATGCTCAATGACTCTCTCCCAGAGCTTCATTGTATGACTTATTAGCTTAATACCCCTATAGTTCATGCAATTTTGTACGTCGCCCTTATTCTTGTAGATAGGCACCAAAGTGCTCATTCGCCACTCATTTGGCATCTTCTTCGTTTTCAAAATCCTATTGAAAAGGTCAGTGAGCCATGTTATACCTGTCTCTCCCAAAAGTTTCCACACTTCGATTGGTATATCGTCTGGGCCTATTGCTTTTTTATGCTTCATCTTCTTCAAAGCTACAACCACTTCTTCCTTCCGGATTCGACGATAAAAAGAGTAGTTTCTACACTCTTCTGAGTTACTCAACCCCCCTAAAGAAGCACTCATTTCATGTCCTTCATTGAAAAGATTATGAAAATAACCTCTCCATCTGTCTTTAACCGCGTTCTCTGTAGCAAGAACCTTTCCATCCTCATCCTTGATGCACCTCACTTGGTTTAGGTCCCTTGTCTTCTTTTCCCTTGCTCTAGATAGTTTATAGATATCCAACTCTCCTTCTTTGGTATCTAGTCGTTTATACATATCGTCGTAAGCCGCTAACTTAGCTTCTCTGACAGCTTTCTTCGCCTCTTGCTTCGCTTTTCTATACCTTTCACCATTGAAACGATCAACTCTACATTAATAGTTGAGCCAAAAAAGTGAACTTCATTAATAAATACCAAAACGTAGGCGAGTGAAATTCCTTTTCTTAACTTTTGTATTATTCTTTATAAAAAAAAAAAGAACTTTATATAAATTAACTAAATTACAGAAATGAAATGAGGATTTGAACTTGAGACAAAGGGAAGTACCATATTGCCAACTCGACTAAGCTGCAAAGTACAAAAAATATTAAGATTTAATTCACCTTCTTTTAAAAGCACAAAATATTGCTACTTAGTATTATGGTCTAAAAGTATTTTTCTTCACTCGTAAGTGAGATATCTTTTGTTCGATTCACCAAAAGTGTATTTGAACCACACTATTATGACCGCCCATTGTGAGGCTTAGTCCATTCATATCTTTTATGAAAAGAAAAATTCAAAAAATATTAATTTCTTCATTCTTAATATGAAAACTATTTTATGACTTAAAAAAAGTATTTGACTCCTAAAATGAGTTCTTCCTCAAACTATTTTGTGGTCGATTTACAGAATAATAGGGCAGTTCAAATAATAATTCATTATGTAAATATATTTCTACAAAAAAAATTAATTAAAAAATCGTTTAATCAATCAATTTTAGCAAATAAATAGATGATTCGTGATGGTTTTACAAAATTCATTGAGAAGTTTTTATACAATTCAATAACTGAACGATCTCATAATTTATTAGTTTTTTGCACATATGATCTTTACATAGTTATTTACAATATAAACGGTTTTGATTATAAGTACGAAGTTTCATAAATCGACCACATAGGAAATTCAAAACTTCTACTCACATTGAGAAGCCAAGTTAATTTTATTATATTTGTCTAAGATTTTTATTGATTTTCCATTAAGAAAAAGGACTTTTCTTTCATTATTTGGAAATACTTGTGGTAAATTCCATAAAATGGTAGCTTAATCGAATTACCCCTCCTTTTGTATAGAAATATCGATGCACGGAAAAAAAAAGTTTCGAGGAAATTACTAAGCATCCGCGTTCGAGAAAATTTCCGGATAAGGCAGGAAAACGTATAAAGCACCAACTTTGCATTCCTCTTATATATATGCAAGACACGATCACACTACCTATATATATACATATATGACCATCGCAAAGAATCAAATACCATAATACTTAGGGTTTAACGAAGCTTAATCACGAAAAATCTCCTAATTAGCAGACTGATTTTGCGATTAACAGTCGCAATTTGCTTCTAGGGTTCTCGAATTTCAGAGAGACGAAGAAAGAGGAGAGAGAGAGTACGGATAAAGGTTTGGGATTTTTGATTGAAGGGGATGGGAGGATGCTTTTCGGACGTGAGGGGAGGCAAGGACGCCGTGGGCGGAGCCCTGCCAAGGCCCACCGAACCGAACGCCAAGAACGACGGCGCTCACAACGATGCCATTGAATTCTTTTACAGGGCGCATGGTGCTTACCCGCTTTTTACGCAACTCGAGGTACAACTCCGGCACTGCTTCTGAAGGGTGATCGATTTGCCTTCAAATCCCTACTCCTACGAACCTTTGAATTTTCTAATTTCTTTGTTTTTCTGGAATTTCTATTTCATTCTTTTCTTGGAATTTCTTATTTAATTTACATATATATTGGGTTTTTCGAAATATACATATATATTAGTTATTAGTTATTTTGGCTATAAATATAACCTCACAAGATCTTATTTTATTTTATTCATACATTGAGTGCATATATTTTGAGTTTGCAAATATTATTTTGTAGTTGTATTTTGAAAATATTATTTGTCTCAATTTTTGTTTTTTTCCTTTTATTGCAAATGTGTTTTAGTTATTGAGTTTTTTAGCATTACGAAAATGTTGCTCATTTATGATCGAAAGATCACAAATTCGAGTCGTGAAAACTTGTTTTATTGTCGTGCAGTTTAGGTTGCAGAGAAAATTGAATAATTCAGCCGATTTTACTATTATATTTTTGTTGTCGTCGAGTTTCTGCTGTTAGGTTGCAGAGAAAATTGAAAAGTTCAGTCCATTGTACTATTATATTGTTGAAGTCTTGAAGATGAAGTTTCATTCATAGTTCATTGCAAGGTGGCGTGTTACCCATGTATCCACAATACCCACTAAAATGCCAAGCGTCACAATACCCACTCATCCAAATGTTGGTGAGACTCTTGTGTTAGGCGGTCTAACCACATCCGTCTATTAACGAACACATCACGCGTTATTGACTTTCAACATATCTTCCAAACACATTATGTGAATATGCTTGTTAGTGAAATTATTAAAGTGAAAACTAAACAGTTATACGCTTGTTAGCGCAAACATCTTATTGAATGATTGGACAAGACATGAAATATGACCGCCTGAAATAAGATTTCCCCCAATATTAAGGACCCAAGTCATATTTGGTTTACAATGTGTTCCAAATGTTTGACCAAAATACTATGTCAACTTTATGTGTATCATGTTTATTTGCATGGATGTTTCACAAGTGATTGGTGTGTTACGTGAGGCTGCATGTTGATTTGAGCCGCCTCCTTTTGGCTGAATTGAAAAATGGCCTACAGAGGGTCTCACAAACAGGACATTAGCAAATTCTCATTTTTTTTTTTTGTTATGCCAATGTTGACTTGGGGACCATAAGACAAAACCTTTTTTACAATGTGATACTTTGCTGGGTCCAAATTCCAAAAGCCTTGTTTATTTATTTCCTCTTGATTTTATCTTTTATTTTTTGTCTTCCAAAACCAAGTGCAGTGGCGTACTAGGAGTCATACAACTGATGCCACTTAGTGAATTAGGCTTGGTTGTTGTTTTTGTTGTTTTGTGTTAATGTTTTTCAATTTTTTGCTACAGTTATCCTTTTCAGCATCCAAGCTGCTTGATCTTGATGTCACTTCAAAGGTATGTTATCCATGTCACCTTACTTGTGATAACATAGCAGTTAAAATACTGGTTAAGTTTTATCTAAGTTAGTAACAAAGTTATTGTAACAGTGTAATCTGACCGCTACGAGTTTACTATCGAGGCTAAAAAAATCTCTGGTTTTCTTTCAGAGTGATCCTATGGTGGTTGTATACCTCAAGAAGAATGATGGTAAGCTAGAGGAACTCGGGCGAACTGAAGTCATACTGAACAATTTAAATCCGGTATGGATACAGAAAGTTTCAGTAGCTTATCAGTTCGAGATGGTGCAGAATTTGATGTAAGTTTCTCTTATTTTCTGTAGCACCTATGTTTCTGAAGATATCTTTGTAGTTTATCTGACGTTTGCTTATTTTCTTTTCTTGTGTTCTCCTCGAAGATTCCGTGTCTACGATGTTGATACACAATACCACAATGTACCTGTAAAGGTATGACGAGACTTCTTTGAATTTTTAGCGTTTCTTTTAGAACAAAAAACCTAATACAATTCATGTGTTAACCTTCTTATTTTGTTGCCTTGCAGACTCTGAATTTGAGGGATCAAGAGTTTCTTGGAGAAGGCAGTTGTATCCTTTCAGAGGTAATTCTCTTGAAATCTGTTCAGCTCATATATTTTCATTGAGCTGGTGTGATGCAGCTAAGGAAAGATATCGATATAGCTTGTAGTGGTTTCCTTTATTTAATCATATGCAAAACCGTTGGCCAAAATGTATTGAAATAGGTACCTAATTTACAGTTTGCTGTGTACTCTCTTTTCTGACGGCAGATTGTGACTAAACAAAATCGAAGTTTAACATTGACTCTGAAAGGCAAAAACGGGCTTGGAGGTTTGAGAAACTTTGGAACACTCACCGTGCATGCCGAGGAAACTATTGCTTCTAGGAGTGCTGTAGAGATTAAATTCCGCTGTGCCCACTTGGACAACAAAGATCTGTTTTCTAAAAGCGTATGCATTTCAAAGAAGCTTCGTGCGATCTTTTTACTTGTATATACAAATTTCTTATATTGTATGATTCTTAGGTTTCTCTTCCCGATTCTTCACTTCAGGATCCTTTCTTAAGAATATCAAGAACTGTTGAGACTGGGGGTTCTATTCCAATTTGCAAGACTGAGGTGGTGGATAACAATTTAAACCCGACCTGGAAACCATTATGCCTGAGTATGCAACAGTTCGGAAGCAAGGTAAGCTTGTGAATTATTGCTTGGTTACCTGTTAAATTAGAGTATATAAATTTTGGTAATTGAGAAATATGATAGAGAGATCATATAACTTTCTTCAATTTGATGCAGGACACCCCACTGGTTATTGAGTGTTTTGATTTCAACAGCAATGGCAACCACATTCTTATTGGGTAATTATTGATTGGTTCCAACTCTTTATTTTGTTACTTATTGCATGATATCATTGTTTTGTGCCTGGAACACAAAAAAATGAAGGTTTTGAAATTAACCTCTCTATTCGTTTTACTCAGGAAACTCCAAAAATCAGTTGCAGACCTTGAAAAACTATTCAAAGAAAAAAGTGGGGTGAACTTTTTTATTCCATCTTCTCGTGCGGGTCATGAAAAGGTATTTATTCAATCTTGCAGTGTCCAATTCCTTAGTATATCATGTCAATTTGAATTTACTCACGTTTGCTTTGTAATATGCTAATGTAGGTTTTGAAGGGTCAGCTATTTGTGGATCAATTTTGTGAGAAAGAACAATTCAGCTTTGTTGACTATATATCTAGTGGATTTGAGCTTAACTTCATGGTTGCAGTTGATTTTACAGGTAAGTAATGTCAGATAGTCTAGTAATTTAATTCATTCTTCATTCTGCAAAAGTTCATGGGTTTGATATATTTTCTTGTTTCGAATATTAAATTTTGTCCAGGTTCAAATGGAGATCCTAGAAAGCCCGAGTCTTTGCACTATATTGATCCTTATGGCCGGCTGAATTCTTACCAGCAGGTAAGCATGTGCTTCAATAGGGATAGTTCTATCTTATCCACCATATTCTTTTTGCAGACGTGTATTGAGTTCGTACATAATTAAGGTCATTTGTTCTCGAGCTTTTGGTGTTATGGGTACTTTTCTGTTCGATATTTAGCGAAAGCGTATTGATTGATTAGATGTTGTCATTTGCAGGCTATAACAGAAGTAGGACAAGTCATTCAGTTCTACGATGCTGATAAGAGTTTTCCTGCTTGGGGCTTTGGAGGAAGGACGGCTAATGGAACTGTATCACACTGCTTCAACTTGAATGGAAATGCAAGTGAATCTGAGGTAAAGGAGTAGTTTAACTCTTTGCAATGCTCTTTTACCCTTTGTTTGCAATCTTATTCAACACACCTGAACTATATTTTGTTTAACCATCTCAGTAAATTCAATCGTGTCATTTATTTAACAGGTTGTCGGAGTTGAAGGCATAATGGCTGCTTATGCCAATGCTCTACGCAATGTTGCTCTGTCAGGACCGACGTTGTTTGGCCAAGTGGTTAACAGGGCTGCTGAAATTGCCGCCAGGTCCCTCTCGTCCAACAACAACAAGTACTACGTCTTGCTCATTATAACGGTAAGAGCATGACGAATTCAAATTGAATTTTTAACTCCTCGGTTCTTTGTTTTACCAAAAATGATAATATAAATGCCATCTTGTTTTCTAGGATGGAATCCTCACTGACCTTCAAGAAACAAAAGATGCTTTGGTGAGGGCATCTAATCTTCCTCTATCAATCCTCATCGTTGGAGTTGGTAATGCGGATTTCAAACAAATGGAGGTAACACTTGTGCTTATTCAGGATTTTCACATACTGGTTTTTGATTTCTGCATATCGTGAAGTTTCGTCTGAATCCTTTGTATTTGGCAGATCCTTGACGCTGACAACGGGCAACGATTAGAAAGTTCTACAGGTCGCATAGCTACGCGTGACATTGTCCAGTTCGTTCCAATGAGAGATGTGCAGAGTAAGTATCCATGACCTCCATTTCTCTTTCTAAACATCCATTGTACCTTTAGGTGCACGTCAACATCGTGTGATGCGAAGTTACTAGAACTGTCATTCATCCTGTACTAATTTGGCAATCGTAATTTTTTTTTCTCGGGTCTTCTTTCGTATTTTAGCTGACAAAGTATGTGGGGTTTGTAATTTGTAAGCAGGTGGGCAGATTTCCGTTGTTCAAGGTCTTTTGGAAGAGCTGCCCGGACAGTTTTTGAGTTACATGCGTTCCATGGACATCAAGCCGCTCACCTTCAATGCCGCTGCCCAAGCATCATCTGCCTGACCGTCAACGGATTTCTTCTTTCGTTTTGAGTCCCTCCATTAGATATTACAAAGCATGTTTAGTTAGTTAAGGATGGTTTTGGAACATGAAGCAGTTAAAGTTCAAGCCGAAAAATGAGAGAGGCCACATTAACTATGGCAAATCTTTGTACCCTTGTAAGGGGACATCACGAATACTTTGTAGTATCGAGCATTCATGCTAATGCAGTGTGAAATGTAAATATGAATGCTCGATACTACAACAACGCATTGGATATTACAAAGCATTTCATTGGTTGATAAACGTGAAATTCAAGAATCTATCAGAAAACTATAAAATCTCTAAATTTCGATCTTTCTTGCAGTCCAAGCATCTGCCTCAATGATTTTTGGCATGATTAAAAGTTTTCATGACAACTAACAATGCTTATGACTACGGTTGACAAGAAAATGAAAGCACTCATGTATTATAGAAGTGTTTTTTGAAAAAGCGCGCATGAGATGCTTCTTCAGAAATTATTTCCAAGTGATGTGTTTGTAAGTTGCGAATGAGTCCTAAATTTTTTTTTGAATTTTAATATAATGCTTGCGCAAAAGTACTTCTTAAAAAAAATTTCTAACTTAGTCCTTAGTAAAAATTGAGCAAATATTGTGCGTCATATCATTCTCACTAATTTGGTTTAGAAAATTAGTAATTCATGAAACATATTCTTAAAATTTAGGAAATTATTTTAATTTTATTTCTTCATTATTGTGGACTTATTTATTTATTTTTTTGGTGTGGAGGATTGTCGTTGAAGTTGGAGTTAGGTATAGACCGCTCATCTGCTTTTGATTATCCTTTGTGCTGTGCTCACCTAAAGCTTCATTTTCAAGACTTGTGAGCAATGGTAGATTGATGAAATATATTGGGAGGGGTTCAATAAGAATAGCGAGCAATTTTTTTTGGACGGAATGGCAAGCAAATTAGTATTTTATCAATCCTTAGTAGGCCTTAGGTCATTTGTCAATTCGTATTGCACACATGTCAACATTTTTCGCACAAGCATGTCTACTAACGTCAGTAGTTTTTAGCGAACTTGCCGACAGATGCCAATATATGCCGAGTGATCCTATCGACAGATGCTTATAGCAACACATACAAAGGCATAAGGCTAGCAACTATCATGCCTGAGAACCATAAAGGCAATTCAAAAAGCAGTTGGAAGACAGCTTTCAAGAGCATCTCATATTTTCAAAAGCAGTACCCATCTCTTGCATGGAGGATTTCTGAGTTTGTGGAGCTCAAGGGACCCACCTTGTCCCAAAGTGAATTTGTCCCTACTTGTGAGAACCTCTTTCGTATGAACCTTCAAATTTATCTAATAGTGAATAAACTTATGAGTTGAGATTATTCCTATTTACCAAAATATAAGGAATAATTTAAACCCATAAGTTTATTCACCATTAGATAAATCTGAAGGTTCATACGAAAGACGTCTTCACAGGGCCTCCAATTAGGTGAGCAATCATAGTACTTAGGTGAGCAGTCTTGGTACTTCACATGTTTTGTCTGCTTCCTTTTCTTATAATTAAAGCATTTTCCCAACATGAAAAAAAGAAACGATCAACTCTACATCTATATATAAAGCCAATGAAAACGATGAATAGTGATTTTGATGTCATCAAATTTCAACAAAAAAAAGTTGGTACTGCCGAAGGTTGACAGCATTGTCGTTGACAGAACAGTATGTTAGCTTTTGCCTTGGCAAGTTTAGGTTATGAACTGTAGCTCACTCTGTTTGATAAAGGGGAATGATTTCCGTGCACTTTTTTTTCAATTTTGCAGACCATTACAGAGAGAGAAAATGAGTTTACGAAACCACTTAAATGCTGTGTCTACTTGTTGTAGGGTGCGTAATGCGTTCAAATGAGGAAGTGGGCTTTCTGGATGCAAAAGTTTTAGTGGTGGACTTGATATCTCAAGAAAAGTCACGTACAAATAATGATCTCGATTTTGGTAAATGTTGTTACATTTACAGAGATTTATTTATTTTTAATGTATAATTCAATTATTTAGTAATTATTGAACGGATGAAATTAATTATTGAACGGCTGGATTAGAATGAAAATTTGAAAGTAACCTCTTATATTTGGCCACGTGTCGAGTACATTGAAAGTAACCATCGTGGTGGGTCCCACACTCTCCTAGCTAGGTGAGCGTGACGCCAACGCCATGTATTTAGATCAAGACTCATAAGCGACTGGTGAGCCTTGGACCCAAAAACGAGTAGATGTGTGTGTTTTGGGTTGGATTTGAGACCTAGTTATGTCAATTTAACATAGATGAAAATACTCTACAATTCCCTTCCTACAATTCGTTGTGTGAATAAACATGACGAACAAGGACGGCATAGGAAACATGCTCACAAGACATGAGACCAACTTCATAACACTGAGTAATTTTAATTGTAGTATTTTGTACTAATGATACAACTCTCATGTAAAAAAAAGTTTACGCGTAAAATTTATGCTTACGCGTAAAATTTATATCATTGACAATAAACGTTCATTTTCCACGAGGTTGTCGTTTGATGACTTCACCACGTGTAAGGTGCATGGGAGTCGTGCATGCAAATGCAGTCACAATTTCGTTCACCGTGGAAAATACTAATCAATTCCGATGTTTGTTGGAATATCAACAACTTCAAAAATGTTTCCAGTCTTTCCAGCACATTCCTGCATCATAATCCTCTCTCTCTCTCTCTCTATGTATATATATAGAAGAGAATCTTTTTAAAGCATTTTCGATACAAATTTACTAGTTGGTGGGTTGTTGGAACTTGGACAGGTATCGTAAATTGCAATCAAAAAGTGAATTGGTCTCCGCCTAGTCAGTCAATCGTCAAACCACAACCTTTTCCACATACATGTATGTGAAGAATGTTCATTATTTCATATTATAATACATTTTCCAAGCAATTAGCCATAAATATTTAAAATAATAATGCAGCTAATTAAGCTAATGTAGTATATTACAAAGAAGAGGATCCTTTCACTTTATGAGGATTCTAAGAGTTGGTTTGGTATTGCTGTACTTTAAAAAAAAGCTGTTGTGAGAATAAGCGGTTGTGCTGTGAGAATAAATAGCTGTGAAATAAATCAGCAGAGTGTTTGGTAAATTTTTTTGTAAAAGTGCTTTTGGAAAAAAAAAACAGTTTGATAGTGGATCTTTTCATTAAAAGAGCACTGTAGCTCCATGTGCTTTGAAAAAAAGACAGTTTTCTAAAGCTGCAAATAGCAGCTTCAGTTTTTTCCTTTGATTTCAGCTTATTCTCACAGCAGCTTCCAAAATAAGCCTTTTTTTTCAGTTTACTAAACACCTAAAACCCTCACAGCTTTTTTTCATGGATGCTTTTTGTTTAAGCACCTCACTCCCAAACCACCCCTAAGGATCCCTACATTCTATCTGGTCATCGTATATCATATAGTCAGTTTTTGTCATGTATTTTTTGTGTTTAATTTTAAATAAAAAAAGGTTAAATAATTTATAACATCACGATACACGATGAATTGTTAAAATGTGAAGATCCCTCAATCCCCACAATTTGGATCCGAATGGGATCCAAATCCTATTTATACATGAAGTGATATTTTGTGTGATCTATATTTCACATTGTATGTAAACAATCTAAACTTGTACACACATGCAGAGGCGGATGCACATTAGAACCAAGTGATCTCAGGACCATTCGAAGTCTAGGAAATATACATGCGAACGTCTTCCAACAACCCTCCGTATTTGGCACGTGTCTTTTTGTGCCCACCAAATATTTGATGTAATGTCTGCTATACATGTCTCAACAAGTTGCCCTGACATCACTTGACAAATTCTCTCGATATCACTTATCAAATTGTTTCGGCATATGTCGATATGTGTTGACATCTACGCAACATAGTTAGCTGACGACAACAAACCCATTAGTATTCCATGAAGTACCTCAGTAAATAAACTATTTTTTTTTTGCATGTTTCTCACTTTGTTTTTGTCTAAAAACTTGAACGTTTAACATTGAAATTTCCTAAAGTCTAAATCTTGAATCTGTCACTGCACGTATGTACGTGTGATTGAGATTTTAAAACTGTTGCAATGAGATGGTCAGCAGCAAGCATATTTACCCAATAAATTGTTGATAAATTTATCTAAAGTTGATACCTGATCGTGATATACCATTTGATTTCATGCATGCTTTCGTGATAATATTGACGTCATTCTGGTGACGCCAACTAAACCGTTGTAAGAAGTCTTATCTAAATAATTTGCTATGGACTAAGCTTTATCCATAAACATATTGAAGTCAACTTCTATGAAAAAGAAAAAAGAAGGACATATTGGAGTCGAGTCATTAGGTTTATCCACAAGTATTTGTTTCCCAATATTTTATATTGCATTATTGGCACACTCCATAAGCCACAGTAGTATGAATGGGACAGGAACTCCTCGACCTCTTTGAAGAAAAAAGGGAAGAGATTGGCTACTCTTACCCCGACAGGAGTATTGCAAGGGAAGGTAGAAATTTTCCAAGTCAACTTTGAAGAAGAAAGAGAGAGATTAGCTACTCTTACTACCAGCGTTAGAGAATATCTACAATTTTAAGTCGAAAAGATTTACGCATAACATCTAACTATCAGCTGCTACATATATAGATTTACGTATGAACTTACAGATCTTGCACCAATGAGAACTATTGGATGAGAGAATCGAACTTGGATTAGGGTTAATCACATGCACGCCCTTACCAAATGGACCAACCCTTGTAAGCAATTTCAACAATTCAATTTGATTTGGTTCGATTCCATTCAATCCTCAAACTAGTAAACCAATCTATTTGATGGATGTTTTTATTTTGTTATTTCTCTTCATAAACAAATTGAGAAAATATTGTGCTTCATATCATTCTCACTAATTTGGTTTAGAAAATTAGTAATTCATGAAACATTTTCTTAAAATTTTGGGAAATTATTTTAAAGGAAAACTAATGAAAAGGGCTTGAAAACTTTGAGTTTTAATGATAAGGATGATGCGAGAATTACTTGACACACAAATTAAACCCTCTTTTTGACAATTGTAGTATAGATATAAGTAGGGTATCGTTCTAGGCCGGGGATTAGGAGGGA